TTTTGTGATCTGCTCCAATGTTTTGATTTTAGGGTTCATAGCAGGAAGATGGATAATAAATATAAGAGTATAGGTTTTTATTGATAGACTGATTTTTTATTTTTTTATTTTTTTTTTGCGTTTAAGTATTCAGAGAGAAGAGCTCCACTTGGAAATTTGAAGATTACTTCCAAGCATAAGCAAAAACGACCCAAAAGTAAAATGACTTTTCATTAAAAGAATTCATATAAACATGAATTTGTTACCTTAATATACCGAGAAGAATTGTGAATTAATCCAAGTTTTCTATGTTTGTACAAACATTTCCACTTATGCTGTACAATTCTGTCGGACAAAATGGAGATGCTAAAGGTAGTTGATAGTTTCTACATTTCCCAAACTATTTGCTTGCCATTAAAAACATTTACAGGTAGAATCATTTTTTAAATAAATTCATATATATGCATCGATACTTTGAACATAGTTCATGATAATGGGTGGGTTGTTTTCATAAATTGGAGAAGTGGCATCTGTGCAAGACACCAGATGGAATCTTATCTCTAAATCGATTGAAGCTTCACCGACTAGGTTGAACATGAATACAAATAATTAAGAGGCTCATTCTTAGTTTATAACAATTGCACACCATGTGATTGATGTTATGCCTGACTTTTATTATTTTCATGTCATGATCACTGATTTTGGTGTTGTGTAGGAGAAATGATTAGAAGATACTCCCTCCGTCCCAAATTAATTGTCCACTTTTGACTTTTGAAGTCTCTTTTCTTCAACTTTGACCTTAAATATTTTTATTTTTGTAATATATTACTTTATAAAACTTATAACAATGAAAAGACATTTAAAATACAATTCATTCATATACTTTTCATCTAGTATTATCTATAAAAAAACAAATATATTTAAGGTCAAAGTTGAAGAATACAGACTTCAAAAGTCAAATGTGGACAATTAATTTGGGACGAAGGTAGTATATAGGTTAGTGAATGCATTTACCAAAGACTTGAGATTTCTATCAATTGATAAAGATCAAAGGGGCAGTGATTGAATATTTTTCTTAATTAATAGATACCAGGTATTACCTAAAGTTGTGCCTGACCAGATTATTCGCTATCTAAAAGGATTAGTATCATATTTCATCTTAATTTGTTCAAGGTAGTTATATTTTATGTGATTATATCTTACTCGGTCAGTGTCTTTTGTTAATGAGCTAATGAACAAGGGAAAAATTTATATTTGTTTGTATTGAATTGTACGACTTTTTTTATTATATATCTCTTCTTAATGACAAAAATTTAGCTGCATTTGTGGATGAAGAAGATGTTGCAAAGTTTACTGATGCTGTGAAGGAATTTGACGGCATGACATTTAAGAAATAACATTGTATATTCATTTTTTATGGCGTTACACAACTTGTACAAATGTTGTAGATAATTTGATTTATGTACGTGAAGTTGTCAGAGTTCTTGTAAGGAAGCATGGGTTGACTGCTACTTTTATGCCAAGGTATTTTCCTTTTTGATAAAAAATATAAGACCATGTTTGTTGCAAATGACATGACTTGACATGTTATTCTTATTTGTGGTAAATTTAGGTATGCATTAGATGACATTGGGTCTGGTTCACATGTGCATATTAGTTTGTCTGAAAATGGACATAATGTATTTGTTGCATCTGATATGTCCTCAAAACATGGAATGTCTAAAACTGGAGAAAAGTTTATGGATGGTGTTCTACATCATCTTCCTTCTATTCTAGCTTTTACAGCTCCAATCCCAAACGGTTAATAAGTTTTATTTTTTACCATTGTTGATAATATGAAGAGTGTGTAAGAACATTAGGGTTGCTGCAAGAAATACCTACAAACATTCATTGATTGGTTTTTGTTAATTGTTATAGCATTCTACCTTTTTTTTTATTCCCATTACTAAATCGTAAATTGTTTTCAAAAAGCTACCCAACTTTAGCACTGTTATCCAATTAAAATAGAGTGGTATTTCTTGCATTTAACCATAAGCCTCTGATCCCAATTTCAAACTATCAAAAATTTTTTATTGTAGTTATGACCGTATACAACCCAATACATGGACTGGGGCCTACCTCAGTTGGGGTAAAGAAAACCGAGAGGCTCCTCTGAGAACCACATGTCCACTTGACATTCCAGATGACATTGTGAGCAACTTTGAAATAAAAGAATTTGATGGATGTGAAAGTACATATCTTGTCCTTGTTAGTGTTATTGCTTCTGGAATTGATGGTCTTCACACACATCTCTCTCCCTGATCCTATTGGTAAACACTTCACAAATATTCCTATGTTCTCCTTCTCCATGTTATTATAATAATCCCTAAGTTAAATTTATATTCTCTGAATCCAAACAGATGATAATTCGGATATGCTACGTGAAAAACTTCAAAGATTACCAAGTCTCCCTTATGGAATCAATAGAAGCTCTTTCAAAATCATAACAAAAAAGAAAATGATTTGTATACATATTTTTTATTTTTAGCTTGTTAGATGCCTTTTAGTTATAAACTTTTGTCAATTTATTTTCAGCTAAACCAGAGGATAAAGTATCAGTTTTAGTTCAATTCTTACCGACACTCCTTAGCATGGTGAACCTCTTAGAGGCATCTGCAGCTATTTGTTTCTCTTTCTGAATTGTTTCATGTCTTTGTATTCTGTATTCTCAGGTTCATTGCCCTTCCATAGTAGGGAGCATGTTTGAACAAACTTTTACCGAAGAAAAGAAGTAATATAAGAGCGGTCCACCTGAAACATACAAAAACAACTATGTATGTAAAAAATGTCTAATGTAGTAAAACCGCCACCCTTGACCGCCGCGAAGTGCATAACACCCCCTAGTTAAGTTTTAAAAGACTTAAAGTGCAATAAATTCTTAAATAAAACATGTATTTAAGGAATTTGTAATAACAAACTTGTTCAACACGTATAACTAAAAAGAAACTTGTTTGGGTCTTGAGTTCTTTTGGCATCCTTGATTCCTTTCGTATAAAAATATATTTTATTATTATTATATTTTGTTTTGAAACCATTTTCTATTGGTGATTGTTTTTAGTGCATGTTTGAAAAATTAGTTGGTAGTTGGTTACTGAAAACTGGTAGCTGGCAGTTGTTAGAGTATTCATTGCTTGGTTTAATGAGAGATTTCAATGAGGTGACATACTTAGTTGTCATTCGATAGATGAAGCACTTACATTATGGGATGTCACATTAACATTCAATGAATTTGGAGTTAGATGACCGATGAACACTTCAATAAGAAAAAAGAAAGTTCTCTAATTCATAAATAAATATTCAATATATGGTCCATTGAATTTGATAGTGTTCAATACACTATACACTATGAGATGTCATTCGATAGATGAAGCACTTACATTATAGGATGTCACATTAGCATTCAATGGATTTTGAGTTAGATGATCGATGAACACTTCCATAAGAAAAAAAGTTCTCTAATTCCTAAATAAATATTCAATATATGATCCATTAAATTTGATAGAGTTCAATACACTATGAGAAAAATTTGATAGAATTGTATGAAATAGTGAATGATGATGTGACAATTATTAAAATATTTAGAATTCAATGTATTATGAATGTCCTGGATGGATGATGTAACTTTTATTAGTATATGATTACTTGCAAAAGTAGTTGAAGTATTTTGAAATTTATGACATTACATAAAAAGACAACTATTTAAAACAAATAAATATATAAATAATATTTTTTAAAGGTAATCTTGTAAATTTGTTATAATAGGTAGAAACTTTTATTAAATGCTATTTGAAATAACTTTTTGGATCATAAATTTTTTAAAATAAACTCAAAAAGCTTATATTAGCAGATAAAAATTCAATTTTTTTTCGAGTTTTTTCCTTAAAAGCTCTGTACCAAATATATTATTAAACGCTCTAAAATGAAACAACTTTTGTTTCAAAATCTCACAAGCTCTTACCTTATGATTCCATGCATTAAAAAAATGACGTGATTTATTATTACCTTTTATTTAAATCGAACAATTATATATTTTTCATGATGTTTGATACCCACTAATAGGGGTGGACATATTAACCGAAAAACAAACCGAACCATAACCAAATTAACCGATATAACCAAACCATTACTAAAAGATATGGTTCAGTTTCTAATTTTAATTAACCGAATACATATGGTTCGGTTATGGTTTTAATCAAAAACCGAATCATTATAAACCGAACCAATAATATTTTTAATGTAATATAATATTAAGTATATGTATGTAATTATATTGAGAATTGAAAAATTTAAAGGGTAATTAGATGGAGTTAGATAGGATAAGTAATATTCTATCAATACAATTATATATATACACAATCATTCATTTTTTATAATGATAGACTTTGTGTTTTTCAAATTTTATAGAAAAATATTTTTATTTTATGTCATCTTAGACCATCTTGGTTAACCGATATTAACCATTAACCGAATAAAACCATTAACCAAAACCAATATTAACCATCATTCAATTGTTATAGAAATACATTAACCAATTATAATGGTTATAGCTGGATTTTGACAAATAACCAAAGCAAACCGTCCATACACATCCCTACCCACCAACTATGAACCAACTATGATGTAGAATTCATAGTAAAATTCATAGTAAATGTCAGTTTCATATCAACCGTCAAAATTCGAGCGAAAATACTAATAAGATTAATCTGTGATATTTAAACCTTAACAAATCTCCCAATAAATTTATAGATGTGAAATTAAATACGAGGAGGACACTTAGTTTATGAACATGTCAAATTTAACCCCTAGATCCTTAGCTACCTTAGCTATGCTTATTTCTTTTCCTATGCCTGTGATTAAAGTCAAAATTTCACCGACTGTACCCAAAAAAAGCCTGTTACTTTCTGCTTTTCGTTCCTCCTAGTCTTGCTAAACCCTACAAAAACACACATACAAACACCTTCACTGTGTGTGTATCCTAGTCTCTATATAATAATACATACACACACAAGCATCAAGAACCAAACATAGACACAAACCCATTAATCCGTTCCTGTTTTAAGCCTCTTGGTATATCGTCAAAATGGGTCTTTTATTTATGATAGTCTTGGTGGGGTTTGTGTTTGGTCTGATCTTCAACCATTTCTTACCTTTGCTGTTCTTGAAAAACAAGAAACTTGGTGCTCTTCCTCGAGGCTCATTTGGATACTTACCTCTTCTTGGTGAAACCCTATCTTTTCTTAACCCTCATCCTTCCACCACCATTGGCTCTTTTCTTCAAGAACATTGTTCTAGGTAAACTCATTTGATATAATCTTTTCAACAATCACATTCTAAACTTGCTATAAAAAGAAAGATTCTTGATTGTACACATAGAATTTCATGTTCATGAAAGTGATACATGAGAACACACACCTTTTATAGCAAGAACATATGTTGAAAACCCCATATTTTGTTTTTCAGGTATGGGAAAGTGTTCAAATCACATTTATTCTTCTCACCTACCATAGTTTCATGTGACCAAGAACTCAACTACTTCATACTACAAAATGAAGACAAGCTTTTTGAATGTAGCTATCCAAAGCCCATTCATGGTGTTCTTGGGAAGATATCTATGCTTGTGGTTGTCGGTGACACCCACAAGAGGCTTAGAAATGTGGCCCTTTCTCTTGTTTCCACCACCAAATCTAAACCTGATTTTCTCACCCACATTGAAAAAACCACCCTCCAGATTTTGGATTCTTGGAAGGACAAGAAACAAATAATCTTCTGTCAAGAAGCTCGAAAGGTTTGCAGATGGCTTCTAGTTTCTTTAATAATCAACTTCATGTACAATATTTTGTTATTAAATTATATATATTTTTAATCGGTTAGTTAATTAATTAACTTACAGCTTACTTTTTTCACAGTTTACATTCAATGTAATAGTAAAACAAGTGCTAGGGTTAACACCAGAAGAGCCACAGACTGCAAGAATTCTTGAAGATTTTCTCACCTTTATGAGAGGTTTAATATCTTTTCCTCTCTACATCCCGGGAACTCCTTACGCAAATGCAGTTAAGGTACGCACTTCATTGATTTTCTAAATTTTAAGGTTTTTTAAGTTTCATATAAGTTCACATACTTAACTAATTTTTTAATAGCCTAAGATTTGACATCAAAATCAAACTGAATAACTTTTTTTGTTGTAAGTTTGGGTAGTTTTTACATTATTATTTTTAGAAAACATAATTATTATTGTTTGCATCATTATTATCATCATCTTGGTTTTGTAAAAGGAAGAAGAGGCATGTACACATGTGATGATGAACTTTGTGTTGGTGTCAACTTTACAGGCTAGAATCAGAATATCAGCAAGTGTCAAACAAATTATAAAGGAAAGAAGAAGAAATAATAATATTATCTATAATAATAATGATGATAATATTTGTGGGAATATGAATATTAATTCGCAAAAAAGGGGGAGTGATTTCTTGGAGATACTCCTAGGTGTTGATACCTTATCTGAGGATGAAAAAGTTAGCTTTGTTCTTGATGCTCTACTGGGTGGCTATGAAACGACTTCTATTTTGATGGCCATGGTGGTGCATTTTGTCGCCAAATCCCCATCTGCACTTGAGCAATTGAAGGTATATATAATCTTATATATATTCGTTTTCTAAATATTTTGTGTTTGACTTTTGGAAGTCACAGCTACAATTTGTTACATTTCAAATTGATTTGGATTTCTTTTACCAAAACTAAAGACTTATAATCCTTAATTTTATGATTTTAAATGCTATAGTTTTCATCTGAAACTTGAAAAAATCGATGTAAATTTAAAGCTAAAATTATTTATTTCGTTTGACTTTCCCTAAAAGGTCGTTTAGAATTTTTTTTTTTTTGTAATATTTATATATATATTTTTTGTGTTGTTATGTGTTAATCTTAGGTAGAGCATCAATGCATAAGGGGCAAGAAGAAGAAGGACGAGTCTTTGAATTGGGAAGACTACAAAATGATGGGATTCACCCAAAATGTATTCGCATTTCTAACTTTCTTTTAATATATTTTTAATTCTATTTTGAGAAAAATAAAGATACCAATGGTTTTATGCATATCTACTATAATAAATAAAGATCCATTTTGTCACATGTCGATCTCTCATGAGTTTTGACACTTGTCATTTGGTGATATTTTTCAAAATAAATAATATTCATGTGTAAATTTTTGGGTTTTTTCAAATTTTACATTTAAAATGCCACATAATACATGTATTTATATATGTAAAGTATTAAATGTAATAAATGTGATAGTAAACTTGCAATTAATACGTTTTCTTCATTTCTTATTTCTTATTTTATTTTAAAAAATACTTATTATTTACCCTTTAATATTTAATATTTTTTTAATCAACCCGTGTATTACACGGGTTTTACACCTAGTATAAGTAGTTAACATCTTAAAGAGAAAAACCATATACGTACATATCCATTAATATACACCCTTGATATTCCATTTATTTATATACATGACACAAATATTGTTCCATGAAGACATAATTAATTAAATAAGTAATTAATACTAATTTTATTGATGATGTCAATAACCTAGTATACACTTTACTTTTGTCAATTAGGTCATCAATGAGGCTCTTAGATATGGCAACATTGTCAAGTTTGTGCATAGAAAGGCTCTCAAAGATATTAAATTCAAAGGTAATTTATTATATATGTTTAATTCTTTATACCCAATTGTTTATGTCTTTTAGACATATTCCATATGATTTAAAAATAAAAAATATTCTTTTATCAATTAAATACAAGATTTATAGGTAGTTAGCTCACAAAAGATGCACCTCATAAAGTCATAAACAAATCAAAATCTTTCTAAAGGTTAAATTACAAATCTCGTCCTATGGGTTTTGCTCAACTTACAATATTAGTCCAAAAGTTTCACTTGCTACAGTTAGAATCTAAAATAGTTTAATTTTTGCATTCATATTTGCAAAAAGAAGTAAGATCGATGATAAACAAAACTTGAAGAAGTGGGTAAGGTTATAGAAAAAAGCTAAAAACTAGGGTAAGTGATGTTTATTATAATAGAATAATTGGATCGAAAAGATATGCAAGTATTGGATTATGGATTTGCATTAATAAAGCTAACTGGAATCGTTTTAAAATAGACGATTACGTACAACAATATAATAAGACTAGCAATTGAAACTTTTGGACTAACCATGTAAGTCAAACCTAATTATAGAGACGAAATTGTAATTTAAAGGTCAAAAAAGGTTCTTTCATAATAATGATTCATGCATGCATGAGCCACTTCATATCTTGTGTATCTTATAATTGTTCTTTTGACAATTTTGTGGGTCGTTTTGATATTAATTAATATTGTTCTTTGTGTGAAATACTGAAAAAAGACATATGTTTTGTATTTTATGGTCAGATTATTTGATACCAGCAGGTTGGAAGGTCCTACCAATTCTAAGTACAGTTCACTTGGACCCATCCATCCATTCAAGTCCCCTGGAATTTCATCCTTGGAGATGGGAGGTAATTCATTAATATATATAATATATATAGATATATATTATATATATATATATATATATATATATATATATATATATAATGATTTAGAATTTTATTCATTTTGGTTAATGACATTAGTTTATACGTGTAGACACAGAGGCAAGATCAAACGGGGAAGAAATTCACACCGTTTGGTGGAGGATCAAGATGTTGTCCAGGGTCCGAACTAGCTCGGGTAGAGGTTGCATTTTTCCTCCACCACCTTGTACAAAATTTCAGGTGAGTGTTGTTGATTATCTTTTTATTTTTTGTAAATATAAATAAAGTCAATGGTAAATTGATAATTTTAACAATGGTGGTGGTGATGTAGGTGGAGTGTAGAAGATGATGACCAACCCATTGCCTATCCATATGTAGAGTTTCAAAGAGGATTAGTATTAAATCTGGACCATTTTGCCCTTTGAGTCAAGCCCAAAATATATCTTGGAAATTATCCATTTCTTGGGAGAGAGTAATAATTCATCAAGAATACTTTTATATGCTTTAAATTGTATCTCTAGTGTAGCATTTTCTTCTCTTTTTCTTTTTCTTTGAAATTTGTATATTAGTAGTTCATCATAAAATAAAGTGTCCTAGACACAAGTATTGTATTGAAATTTGTTTATTTATATTTGTAAAAATATAAATGTTGCCCCACATTGGAAAACAAAATCTAATTATTAACCTATAAAAAATTAAAAGTAAATTATAGAAACAATTCATATGTTTGTAATGAAAATTAGAATTTCAGTATGATTATTTACCTTATCATATCACTCTTATGGTTTTATTTTTTTACGCATATAGTTCCTAACTAATATCATGTGAAATGATTAGAATGTCATTATGTTAAAACACACACTCACACTCTCTCTCTCTCTCTCTCTCTCTCTCTCTCTCTCTCTCTCTCTCTCTCTCTCTCTCTCTCTCTCTCTCTCTCTCTCTCTCTCTCTCTCACACACACACAAAAGAATTTTGATTCCACGTTTTTTGAAGGTGTAGATGTTTGTGATAAATGTGAAGCATCTTCTTCGTCTTTATATGCTTTACAATACATTGAATTCGAACCCATGGATTTTGAGAACAATGGTGTTCAATGGCTACCTCCAGAAGACGAAGAAGATGAGAGGGAGCCTTTTTAAGCCATTTCAAACAAGAAAGAGGGAGGTATAAAGCCTTGTGGTTTTAAATGAACATGGAGATTGAGACCTCATGCTTACCAAGCATACACCACAACCATTGAAACCAGATATATATATTATATATATATCTATATATATATATATATATATATATATATATATATATATATATATATATATATATAGAGAGAGAGAGAGAGAGAGAGAGAGAGAGAGAGAGAGAGAGAGAGAAAGAAGGGGGAAAGATAAAGTAAGGATTAAATGTGAATGCAAAACCTATCAAAATATTTGTCAAGAAAAAACAAAGGTTCAAAATGGGAGGTGAAAAGCCACCGGAGTGGACGAAAGTAAGCAGAAGGAAGACAATGTCGAGGAAGAATACATATGAAGTAACGATGTATTTTGTAACAAATGTACAGGATGGGGCCAGGAAGAATGATATTTGGAAGATATACGCAAAGTATGGGAACCTCTCAGATGTATATCTGGGAGTAAGAAGAAGGAGGAATGGTCAGAACTTCATGTTTGTAAGATTCAGAGCAGTTCAAGATACAAAAAGCCTTGAAAAACAGTTGAAACAGGATTAGATACAAAGGGAGAGCTTTAGAGACCAATCTGTCCTTGTATGGGATGAAGGAAAAACATATGCAAATGATACAACAAGGAGGCAAGAGAAACCCACCCTCAAACACAACATGAGAGCAGGATTGAGAGATCAGAGAACATTCGTAGAGGTGACAAAAACACAAGGAAAATGTGAAGGGACGGTAACACCCCCAACCTCGTCTCCACTGATATCGCCACCACCACCACCACCCATTCTCCTGCACCAAGAACAGGAAAACCATCATTGGCTAAGAAAGACAACACTTGTTGGTGAGACATTATCTTTAGATCACCTTGGACACTTTCCCAAATTGCTCTTAGTTAAAAAGGCACCTATCAGGGAGATAAAATACCTTGGAGGGTTAAAAATTCTCCTCATATTTGACAACTCAAAGGATACAAAGGAATTCTTGGAAAACGAACAAAGGTGGAAAGAAATCTTCAAGTGGGTGAAGTATGGAGAAAAATTGGATCTTGGTTTTGAGAGAGTTGCTTGGATTAAAATCGTGGGGCTGCCACTGAAGCTGTGGGGTGACAGGAATTTTGCCTCCATCACTAGTCGTTATGGAAGGACGATTTCCCCCTTTGATGATGTTTATCATCGGGTCGATCTTTCATGTGTTAAAATTGGGATAATAACATCAAGACATGATAGGATAAACGAGGAGATCATTGTAGCCACAGAAGAAAAACTATTCAAGGTTGGCATTATAGAATTTGACGAGGATTGGTTCCCGTTCCGGTTTGACCCAAAGGAAGATTTTTATGAGGAGGAGATTATGGAGAATGAAGACGTTGATGAAGGCATATCGGATACATGGATGGCCGATGATGTAGAGGAACCGGAAGAGGGTGAGATACTGCAAGATGACACGAGCACAGTCCGGAAGCCCGATAAAAATGAAAAAGAGACAGCAATTGCAGACAATGCGAAGGATGACTGGGTGCCAGAATCGCAGGAAGTCGCCGGAGAAGCTGAAAGATCACCTGATGGTCAACATACAGGAATGGAAGACCAAAGTCATTGGGAACCACAGGACCGTGGGCAGTGGAGAAGTCAATCTAGACCCTGATAATAAAGAATAATTAAATACGGAAGATAACAGGAATGTCACCTTTACTACAAGTGATGGGGAAATTATGACAACGTGCCCTATGAATACCTTATTACTGCCTGAGGGAAGTGGGCTGCTTGAAAGTTTAGTTACCATGGGTTGTTTTGGGCCTTTTCCGGTAAATTACCATGTAACGCCACGTTCCTGGTACGCTTTTAATTTATTAAAATAGTCATTTTGTAAGAGCTACTCGACGAGTTGGTAGCCCTAACTCGTCGAGTAGGTTCTAGCTTGGTCGCGGGATTTAAATGGTCTACTCGACGAGTCCGAGCCTGGACTCGACGAGTAGGTCCATCAGGAGGAAACCCTAATTTTCAGGGTTTGTACCCTATTTAAACATCATATCTGGCCTCCACCTCAACCTCCATCACCTCCAAACCCTATTATCGAAACCCTAATCCGCCATAAGTGATCTTGAGCTAGTTCTTGCCATTTTTGAGTGTTTTTGTGCATTGTGAAGCTTGTAGAAGAAGTAGAAGAATGAAAACTCAAAGGGGAAGAAGTAGATCCAAGAGCTACACTTCATTTACTGCATTTTCTGGTAATCAAGCTTCCAACTTGATCATTCTTCTCTTAGATCTAGTTATCTCCATATTATGAAAGTTTTGGGTCAAGAACCTTGGTCCTTGGGGTTGGGACGTCCCAAGTGACTTATATCTCAGATCTAGGACCTAGAAGGGGTTCCATGGCATAAAGGTGCAAACTTTATGACCATGGAAGCCCTATGCAAGCATAGGAGCAAGTTTATGGTCTTTTTAGCCCTAAAAGACCATGCATGGAAGGAAAGTTTGAAGCTTTATGTGTCCAACAGAGGCTAAGATCTTAGATCTGGGTTTGTATGCGTGGATTTGAGATTACATGGCCTTTTGGACAAGAGTCATGTATTATAAGAATTAGGGTTTTGTCTAAACCCTTTTAGAGGAGCTATAAATGTGTAAAGTTGGAAACTTTACCCTTAGGAAGGCCTTTCCAGTGGACAAACGAGCTAAGAACCTTAGATCTATAAAATAGGGGCTTAATCTGTTAAGATGGCCAAACAGACGGAAGGACTCGTCGAGTCCACAAGGGAACTCGACGAATCGTGTCGTGTTGTACCGATCTTTATGACAGCAGGAACTCGACGAGTCTGTTAGGAGACTCGACGAGTTGACTCAGCTGACCACGGGTTTAAGCGTTCAGGAACTCACCGAGTTGGGAGATAACTCGACGAGTTGGGTTGACTGGGAGTTGACCTTGACTTTGATTTTGATCTTGACTAGGGGTAAAATGGTCATTTTACCCTAAGAGAGGATTAGCAGATTTTGATTAAGTGTTATTATGGAATTGATAGCCGGAGAGTCACCGGAGCAGCAAACAGGGATTCCTCGTTCGAGTTTTCAGCAGTCGGTCTAGCGAGGTGAGTTTTCTCCTATAGGAACGGGTCTAAGGCACCAAGGCTGGCCTGTTTATGTGTGATTGTATGTGTCGGGGTTAGCTCGAGGTAGGTTTTATGTTCCAGACTCCGGTCTGATGCCGGGCGGGGCCCGATGCAGTTAGAATGCTTGATGTCTTTGTGATTCTTGCATGTGTCTGATTATGTGTTCCGTACTTTGGTCCGATGCAGGGGCAAGCCCGAGGAATGCTAGTTTTTATGTTATGTTTATGTTTATGTTCATGATATACTTGTTGATATGATATGTATACCGGACTTTGGTCCGATGCCGGGCGGGGCCCGATGCAGGGGCAGGGCCCAAGTTATGCCGGACCTCGGTCTGATGCAGGGTGGGGCCCGATGCCGGACTTGTCCGATGCCGGGTGGGGCCCGATGCAGTGGGCTAGGCCCAGTATGTGATTATGTGTATGGTATGTGGTAGCTTGGGGGAACTCACTAAGCTTCGTGCTTACAATTTTCAGTTTTGGTTTCAGGTACTTCAGCTAGCAAAGGGAAGGGCTCGGGATGATCGCATGGCACACACCACAGTTTTCTAGCCTGGGAGATTTACTCTGATATTTGTTATGAGTCATGATATGTTGACAGATACTACAATATTTTGATATACTTGGTTTACGATTTTATATGATGTTGATGATCTTTACAGTTTATTAATGTTTTTAAAAAGAAATTTTTGGTCTGTATTTTTGGGATGTTTCAAGTTGGTATAAGAGCCTTGGTTTGAGGGATTCGGGCACACTCTCGGGTGTGTCTGGAGTCAAACTAAGGACTTGGTATGAAAATTTTCAAAAGAAAATCATTATTTTTTTATAAAAAGAATTTTAAAATGAGAATAGAATTTTGAAAAAGAAAAGAACTTTGAAAAGAAAAAAGGGTGTGGTACATGCAATCAGCCGAGCTCAAGTAAGTAAGGCTGTGCATGGGTCGGTTTGGGTCAGTTTTGGACCCAAACCCAACCCAACCCAACCCATAAATGTTCTGTTTATGGTTTTCAGAACTCAATAGGATCGGTTTCTGGTCGGTTCGGTTTCTTGGGTTCTGAGGTCGGTTTGATCGGTTTTTCGGTTTCTTGGGTTCAACCCATACACTCACGGGTTCTGGGTTTAAACCCATGGGTTTTGGGTTTTAACCCATTTTCCAGAAATGATGCAAGAAGTAAAATACTTCAAAAACACCAAATTGAAGTTAAATACTTCAAAAAACATGAGTCTTACAACCAAATAGTCCATTACAAGTTACAGCCAAAGCCCGAAATAGTCTATTATAACCAAAAAACAATCAAGTATGAGTCGGTTTCTCGGGTTGGATGGGTCGGTTTCTTGGGGAGGTTTGTCGGTTTTAAGTATGGGTCGGTTTCTCGGGTTGGACGAGTC